TATGGGGCCCACCAATTTTTAGGTGCCGAAATTTTAGTTTCTTTAATATAAAGAAAATATTACATATGTAGAGTTGGGTATCATAAAAAAGTTAGGAAAGTTCCTTAATAAATTTTCTATAATTTTTAAAAAAAATAATAAAATTTTTGCTACTCAATAAACAATTTAATTTAGTATTTTTTACAAATTTTATTTTTAAAAATGTGTTAGGGTCTAATATAAAATAAAGATAAATTCTCAAATTAATTATTTAGAATTAATTATCAATTATTTTGGACAATGATATTAATTTTTAACATGACATTGTAATTTTTAAATACTAAATATTTATTATATTTTTTTAATTTAATTAATTGAAAAAGTAAAACATGTAATTTTAGTAGTAATTTTCTAAAAATAATAAATATAATATTATAAGTTTGAGAATATAGTTTGTGAGTATTAAGAAATTAAGTTAGGAATATTTTCTTTTTTTTAGAAAATTTATGGAGAATTTATAGCAAACTTATTTTTAAAAAAATTATAGGGAATTGATAGGAAATTTATCGGGAATTTAGTCAATTTTGGTATATATTATCGTTTAAAAATGCAATAAAAATTGTTCAGCCCACCCTATACCGCCAGATTTTTTTAAAAAAGATTTTTGTCATTTTATCCCCCCCATACCCTCCCTGAAATCGAAGACCTTACGCAACCATTACACAAGTATTATTATTATTATAATTATTGTATTTAACAATTATACACAGTTATTATACAATATATATATAAAAATCAATTAATAAATTAAGTAAATATTCAAAAGAGTTTTATTTATTAATTTGTTTTTTTTAAGTAATTTGTTTTTGAATAAACAATTTCGGTTTTTTATTTTGTTTTAATACCTTAATGTTATTATTATTATAATTATTATTATTTGTTAAAGTTATAAACTTGAATTAAAAATCTAATAACATTTTTTTTGAATTAAATATTAATCTGAAACAAATTATATATACTGTATATATATTTGATTTTTAATTTTTAAAACTACATTTAGTTGCATATAATTTATTTTTTGTTAGTTAATTAACAGTTAATGTGTTTTTTATTTAATTTCTATTTTATTTTTGTTTTTGTTTGTCATTTGATTAATTATTAGATATTGAATAATAAAAATTATTATATATTTAATAAATGTGAAATAAATTATTATTTTATTAATATTTGTTACTTTTTATATATCTAATAACAAAAATAAAAAAATTAACAGTAATCATTAAAGTAATTAAATATTATAACTTTATTAATAAATATTAATACAAACTACATTTTACATTATATATAAAAATTTATATTTTTTATTTAAAAAATAAATACAACTTGGACATTTACTAAAAATTAATTATAATCAATCCTCATTGAGAAAAACTTTAAATTTTATTACAAACTAATTATAAATATCAAAAAAACTATTGAATAAATAATTTATTTTACCTTTTTTAGTTTACCTGTTGTTATATAATACTTTTAATTAATAATTATAGTATTTAGTAATACTATATATATATAATATTAAATAAATAAATAATAAAATAATAATATCTAAAAAAAATAATTACTATCTCTATTCAATCATATCCTGATTATTATCAAATATAATTAAGATATAATTTTTTTATAAATATAAAATAATTATAAACACAATGTACAGTATATACCATATATTAATACTTATAACTATACTTGTAATTCTAATTATGATAAATAATAATCTTTTTTTAAATAAAAAATAATAATAATAATATTTAAATAGATTAGTGAAAGTAAATAAAAAAAGTTTAATAATAATACACCAACACTTTTCCCGATTTCATAATCCAAATGTTCAAAAAAAAAAACAATATTTGTTTCTCATTATTGTTTGCTAACATTTAAACTGCAATTATTATTATTATTGCGGGACAAACATGTTGTGTGTGTGTGTGTGTGTCTGTCAATTGTCCGGCCAGTAAAATCGGGTCAGAAAACTTCATTCAATTATCAGTTAATTGTCGCCTCAATTATCTGCGTAATACACTTTGGCCAACAAACTTCGGCCAGCCATCAATCATTGGTTGGCCAACAAACTTCCGCACCCCATAATTGGGTGGCCAACAAACTTCGGCCAGCTATCAATCATTAGATGGCCAACAAACTTTTCGGCAAAACTTTTTGTTTGTATGTGCTATGATTGTGTGCAACTATCCACCAAAAAAAAACAAACAATTGCCAGGGTATATTATCGGTAATAATAATAATCATATTATTATTATTATTATTATTAACCATTGCTATCAATATGAAAATTATTATCATTATTTTGATCGCTATCGGTATCGCTTTCGCTATAACTAGAATTATAGCTATAATAGTCGATATCGTTGTTATCAATATTACTAATATCATCGTAATTATGATTATTCAGATATTTTCCGCATTTGAATACTTGTATACCTAATACAGTATTATTGTATTTAATATATAAATGTTTAGCTTTAGTACCATTGAGTAAATGTTTGGATAGAAATGAATCAGTTGTCGACAGTTTGTTTGGATCGCATCTGAGATCAACAGTCATCAGATGACCTAACTGTCCGATAGCTGCGATCGACTGTTCAGTGATGTCCGCAATATCGCAGTGTATATACTGTAGTCGCGGTAGATTGCGATGAATGTCACGGAAAAACTGGTCACCGATTATCAATAATCTATGAAATTGAAGTTTCAAATGTGTTAATCCGTGCAATCGTTTTAATAAACCACTCGTAAGTACTAAATCAATAGAGTCTTCGTCCCAATCGTTCAGACAGTCTACAGATAATCGTCTCAATTGTGATGACATATGTTCGCTGATTGCGGCAAACATGCGACCAATTTTCGATGTATTTGTCGGCATTAATATCTTATATTTTAAGGCTTTAAGTCGGCGACAGTTGCGGCCAACTGAGGCCAATAAGTTGTCGGGAAATTTAGTGTCGCCAAAGTCGTTGAACAAAACAATCTTCAGCTGTACTAAGCGTTTCATTTGCGACAAACCGGTTATCAGTGATAAGTGATTACAGTCGAGATCATCGAAACAATCAACCGATAGATCCAATGAAGTCATTTGTCGGCCATAAGTGTCGGCAAACTTTGCAAACAATGGCAACGATATGTTGTTCAGTCTTATAGTCATCGATTGCAATGTTTTCGGCAAAACAAACGACATATCAGTAGTGAATATATGAGAAAATTTGATAATATTCTTGTATTTATCAGTGATATCCAATGTCTTCAAGTTTGGCATCAAATCAATCGATTCGTACAGCAATTGTCTGTTAATATATCTATCATATCTGTCAAACTTGAATGTCAACAATTGGCGGCCAAATTGGCGACAAAAGCGGTCAAAAATGTTAGTATTGTTATCATCGGTAGTAGTAGTAGTTGTTGTAGTAGTAGTAGTACTCCAGTGATGGTCTCTATTGATAGGCTTAAGCGATATGTGTCTCAAATGTGGACAATATTTCATTAATAGTTGAAAATAGTTATCGTAATAATACATATCATTTATGGTTAATGTTGTAATGTTTGGACACTTCTGGACCAACAATTCAAACACTTTCAACGGACCGATACTCTGATAGTCATCACATCTGTTACCGCAGTTATAGCTGTTGTTGTTCAGCAATGAATTGGCAAAAAACAATTTCTTCAGCAGTTTTCTATCAAATAGCAGATGTGTTTCTGTGGTAAACATCGATGAAAATAATTGTCTGAACTGTTTGGACACCGATTGTAGTCTTAGTTTGTCATCAATCGGCAGATATTGAATCAATAGTTCCGCCAAATCATCGCCGAAGCGATCAAACGAGTCCTTCATTGCTGTTGTTGTGGTCATTGTCTTCTTCAGTAGTGATCTTCACATATCTTCATATATATATAATGTCTTTGAATAGTCTTTTGTCTAAAACTTTTTTATCAATCAATCAAATACTTTATGTATAAAAAAAAATAATTTTAATTAACATTTAATTCAATACTAAACACAACACTAATAATAATACTTACATTTGATTTTTGTAGCAATCAATTGTTATAATAATAATAATTGTATTCAAATCAAACAATATATACAATCAATTGATTTTATTATTTACTTTTTAATACTTAATTCAATATTACCGGTAATACAATCAAAAAAAAAAAATAATACAAATATTATATATATTTTTTTTGGTAAACAATAATACAATGATATAATAATAAACAAACAAAATATATAATAATAGAGTTGAAAATCTTGTAGTGTTTGGTGTTTCGGGTTTTATTTTGAAATAATTATTTTTTTTTAAATACTTTGACTATTGTATTTAAATACAGTTTTAATGTATAATAATAATTATTAATCAAAAATACTATTTAATCAAAAAATTCTAATCAAAAAATATTAATAAAAAAGTTTTTAGATGTTTTTTAGTTTTAAATATATTATAGTTATTATTGGTTTGGTTTGGTTTTCAAATAAAAATACCAACAAAAAAATAAAAATCTCAACTCTAATGTAGACATTGTATTTACCTCTACATTGGTGCTAAACAATACAACCAATACATTAGTAATGCCATCTATTTATTTATATATATATTATATACTATTTAATATATACTGTATATAAATAACTTTATTAATATAAAAATATTAGTTAATAATTACTTAATTAGTTAAATAATATTATTACTTAAACATACTGTAAATTTACAATATATTATTAACAAATGATTATTAAAAAAATTGGAAATATTAATCATATAAACATTTTTACTGTTTAGAGAATATTTAATATCAAATTTATTTTTTATGGTTTAAAAATAATTTTAAAAACTTTATTATTTAAAAGTGCTAACATATAATTAATACTATTATTGTTTATTATTATATAAAGTTTATATTATAAACAATTTTTTAAAATCTGAAACTGTTTTTCAAGTGTTAAAAGGATGTGTTAATCAAAAAATTTTTGTAATTTTTTTTATAAATAGTTTCATTTAGTTTCTCAATAATTTTAAAGTAATATTAATTTATAAAATAATACAACTAATAAATTTTTTTTTATAATTAATTTAAATAAGTTGTCCATAATTTTTTTTAATACAAATGTTATTTTATTTTGTAAAAATATCTATAAAGTTAATAATAATAATTGTGTTTCTATTATAATGGTAGTTATATGCCAATTATTTATATTTGAAAAAAATGGGCAAAAATAATAGTATAAAATATAATTTAATTATAACTATTTATTATCAAATATAAATTACATAATATACAGTATAACAGTAAATATTAACATACAAACAAAACTTAAGTTTTCTATTAAATTATTTATTTATTTCTAATTTTTAAAAATTATTAAATAATATCTAAATTAAAATATACATTACATATATTCAATATAAATGTAATTATTTTTATATATAATATTCCGATTACAATCGTATAGATATTTAATATTAAATAAAGATTGAATATATTTACACTATATTCTAAATAAAATACTTTTATCAAAATTTTATTAGTTTTTGTTAGAAAAAATACTATATTATAAATACATTATTTTTTAATAATATTATTATTATGGATATAAAGTATAAAACAATTATTATATATTTAATATTAATGATAACATTAGTATCAGTAGTAATAGTAGTGAATGGTTTGCACTCACGTATCAAACAATACCCGAACGTAACGCTCGACACGTGTGGTATCGGCAGACAATCACTGTTGACTACCGGTCAGTGTTTCAAGTGGTCATACAATGAGACCACTAGTAGTAGTATACAAAACGGACGGATAGCCAAACCAGGAGAGTGGCCGTGGATTGCATTAGTTATGTGTGAAAAATATTTTTGGTTTATAAAAATCATAAGGCAATTGATTTACTAAAATATATATTTTTTTGTAATAATAATTTTATAATAAATAGTAAATTTTTTTTTTAATTTAAAAAATTTAAAGATATTTACTATTTGTAATTTACTTCGTTTTATTGTATTTTTTTAGTATGTTTTGTAAAATTTTATTATAGTTACTATTCAACATAGATTCAATTTCTAAATATTTTATTTAAACAAACTCTTTAACTGATACATTAAATTAGTATTTAATTTAGTAATTATTTTTGATATTATAAATAATAGCTATCACTGTCCGGGTGTTATACTAAACAGCAATTGGATTATAACAGTAGCCCATTGTATCAAGTAATGTCATTTATAATATTTTTTAAAATAAATTAATTAATATAATTATTAAACAGAATTATTATAAATAAACTAATATAAAAATAGCATTAATAATATATAAAAAATTACTATTAGTAATTTAATAATTACTGTTTGTTTTTATTTTATGTAAAGATCTGATTACACGTTTAGTGTTCGTACAGTTCAGGATCATAGAGATGATAGCCATACATATGGTGTCCAACAGGTTCACTATCTGACACTATATTTCGGATCGGATTCAAAAACAGACCTAACATATGATATCGCATTACTGAAACTCAAGTCACAGATACTGATATCGATACCGACATCAATCGGTGATCATCGGTATCACTGGTCAATGGCTGTCAACAGCATTTGTTTGCCGGACAAAGACATTGTCAATACCGATGAAGAGTTGGCACTGACTGCCGGTTTTGGTCAGACAGATGAACGGGAGTATAATTGAGGTCCATTGATAATGGGTTGGATTAAGTTGGATAAAGTTTATAATAATAGTATAGATTCATGGGCACATTGGATTATAGCGCACAGGTATCCGCTAAATACAGGAACAGGACTTTGCAAAGTAATTATAGATTATATATATATATATATATATATATCAGTGTTGGCAGAGACAAAGTATATGTATAATACAAAGCGTATTATACAGTATAATACAATGTAAATTACATGACAATTTTGGCTTACAAAATTTTTTTAGCGCCACCTAGTAACAAAAATACTAATATTCACAAACAAACACATGTTTTGTAATAATAATAATTTTTTTATTTTGAAATTAGCTATTCAATTTAATTATGGTATTGAAACATATTAATAAAATAATTAATATTAATTTTTAATAATTTTAGAAAACAACGATTCTAATAACGATATTGAAATTATATAATAATAATAATTTTAATTAAAAAAATGAATATTTTATCATTGTTTATGTAACTTTTTTATAATTGTAAAATACATCCAGTACATTGTATTTTACTGTATTTTACAAACACAAAATTGAAAACCTTGTATTTTCCAACCCTGATATATATACAATATATATTGTATTTCTAGTATTAGTTAGATTTATTTTAACTATTTTTTATATATATAAAAAAATTGAAACTATATACTCAAATAATAGGGTGATTCAGGCGGACCATTGATCCAGTATGTCGGCGGGGGTCGGGCCGTACTAATTGGTTTGATTAGTTCGGGTACAGTAGATAAAGATGGTTCATGTAATCCTTATAAATCATATGCTTTAATGAATTTTATGAGAGTTTCAAAATTTATTGATTGGATCGTCGATACTATTAATAATTAATTTTATTAAATATATTTAATTTATATCTATGTTTAAATAATTAATATTGTTAATACCTATTATTTGAAAAAAATGCGCAAAAATAACAGTATATTTAATTATTTAACATACAATATATTAATTAAAATATATATTATATATATTCAATATAAATGTAATTATTATTTTTTATAATATTCCGATTACAATCGTAATGATATTTAATATTTAAAAAAGGATTAAATATATTTACAATATTTTAAATAAAATACTTTTCTTTAAAAAAAATTATTAGTTTTGTTAGAAAATTTACAATAATATTAATACATTATTATGAGTATAAAGTATAAAACAACTATAAATTTAATATTAATCATAACATTAGTATCAATAGTTATAGTAGTGAATGGTTTGCACTCACGTATCAAACAATACCCGAACGTAACGCTCGACACGTGTGGTATCGGCAGACAGTCATTGTTGACTACCGGCCAGTGTTTCAAGTGGTCATACAATGAGACCACTAGTAATGGTATACAAAACGGACGGGTAGTCAAACCGGGAGAGTGGCCGTGGATTGCATTAGTTTTGTGTGAAAAATATTTTTGGATATTAAAAATCTACAGGCAATTGATATATTAAAGATATACGATATAAATGAATAATTATATATATATAATATTTAATATTTAATATTTATAAAAATTTTAATATATAAAAAATCTTTATCTGTATTACTAAATATAGCTATTATTGTCCGGGTGTTATACTAAACAGCAATTGGATTATAACAGTAGCCCATTGTCTCAAGTAATGCTAATATATAGATAGATATATATGATATACTGTATATATGTACCGTATATATAGAGAGAGAGAATTAAAATAAAATTAGAAATTATTTGATAACTGATAATAAATACTAATGAACTGAATATTATATATAAATATTAATAAAATTAATAAATTGGGTTAAAAAATGATAATTTTACTGTTTTTTGTTTTGTTTTTTTTAAAGAACTGGTCACACGTTTAGTGTGCGTACAGTTCAGGATCATAGAGATAATAGCCATACATATGGTGTCCAACAGGTTCACTATCTGACACTATATTTCGGATCAGATAAAACAAACGATACCTATGACATCGCATTACTAAAACTCAAGTCACAGATACCGATACCGACAACAAGTGGTGATCATCGGTATCACCGGTCAATGGCTGTCAACAGTATTTGTTTGCCGGACAAAGACATTGTCAATACTGATGAAGAGCTGGCACTGACTGCCGCTTTTGGTAAGACAGATGAACTGGAGTCTAATTGGGGTCCATTGATAATGGGTTGGATTAAGTTGGATAAAGTCTATAATAATAATATAGATTCATTGGCACATTGGATTATAGCGCACAGGTATCCGATAAATACAGGAACAGCACTTTGCGTAGTAATTATAGATTATTATATACAGTACTTTATATATATATATTGTATTTCTATTATTAGTTGGATTTTTTGTTGTTGTTGAAAACTATATACTCTTAATAATAATAATAATAGGGTGATTCTGGGGGACCATTGATCCAGTATGTCGGCGGTGGTCGGGCCGTACTAATTGGTTTGATTAGTGCGGGTACAGTTGAAAATGATGGCTTATGTACTGTTAATAAATCATATGCTTTAATGTATTTTATGAGAGTTTCAAAATTTATTGATTGGATCGTCGAAACTATTAATAATTAATTAATTAATTAAAGTATTTAATTTATATTTATACTGTTTAAATAATTACTATTGTTTAATAATATTTTTATTAATAATTATTTTTTTCTATTTATATAAAAAAAATTGTTATTACATACATAACCTGAATTAGATTAGTATATAAGTAATATAACTTATTATAAATTTATTACTGATTTATTGATAATTGGATAATACAATAATATTAATAGATAGTAATAGTTTTAGCCGTGGTACACATATTACGTTCGCACTTTTTAAGAAATCTAGACCCCCTCCCTCCCCTATAATAATATTTTTATATAATAATATATATATGATATTATTCAATATATAACAGTAAATAAACATACCAAATAATTATAACAACTTAATAATTAATAAATGTAAATATTCTATATATCAATTCAACAAAACAATACTAATATATATATATATATATATATATATATATATATATAGAAATATATATATATATTGTAATTAATTATATAATAATTATATGAAAGTGAATAATTATTACTAAAGAAAATAGCAATTAATAAATGACAAAAAATTTATTTAATAATAAATACTAATTTGATAGTTATTTTAATGACAAACAAAAAACATATATTGTAGAAATACATCCATTAATCTATTATAACAAACTTATTCAATTATTAAATTAAAATTAAATTAATAATAAATTATCTTTAAATTATCATGTAATTAAATCGCAATATATTATTTTAATAATTATTTTTAAAGAAATTTTTTTTATGTATGCCTCGAAAACAGTAAACTTCAAAAAAAATTTTAGTTCAATTTATATCTATATTGTTAGTAATTATACAGTATTTTTATTATAATAGTATTAGAGTAGACCTATTATTTGCAAAAAATGCGCAAAAAATAATAGTATAAATTAATTAATATAAATTATTTAACATACAATACTCCAATATATATTAATACTATACAGTAAACTGTATATACTGTATTATAGTAAATATTATTAACAAAAAATATGAAGTTTTCTATTATAGTATAAATTTATACAAATATAATATCATATATGAATTAATATATATATATATATATATGTATAACTGTATAGAAACTGATAATTGGATAATACATAATATTATTAATAATAGATAGTAATAGCTTTATATAATTATTATTGATATAATTATAGTTTTTAATAATTATTTATGTTTTCTTCTCAACACTTGTTTGTAATAAATCGGATCTTTGGCTTCAAGTCTTTCAATGTATTCATCAGTTTCTGTGTTTTATTTGTTGTGTGTATTGAATCTGTTCTTCAATATAACTGTTCGGACGAAACCTGTTGTGTAATGTCTTGAAGTCAATGGTTTGACCAACACTTTGTCCATCAGTTGGTCCATCAGTTGGTCCATCAGTTGGTCCACTGATGTTAATGCTATCCAATTGTATGTCAGTTGTGTTGTCTGTATTATTATTGCGAAACTTATTTATTGTTGCAATGATTATAATGATAATCATTAATATTGTTATGACAATTGCAATGATTACAAATAAATTAGTGGTTAAGTTATAATTATTAGGTATAAAAGGTTCATTTGTAGCTATAAATATGAGTATAAAAAAAAAGTTTTATTTTTGCAAAATTAAAATCTATTAAAATTTGTATATTTATTATTATACAATACTTACAACTTTGATTGAAATCAGTTAAATTCATTTTAATCTTAAAAATAATTAATTAATAAAAGACTACACTTTATTATCTGAATATTATTCAGCAATCATTTCAGAAAAAAAACATAATATACTGTATACTAAATTGTTAACTAAATGTTATGTTAAAATGTTTTAAAATATCATAACTTATTCACAAGTTTTATATACAGTATAATAGTTGCAGTAAAAGTATATAAAATAACAAATCAATTAAAATATTTGGCTAAACATTATAATAACAATTTAGAAAAATTGATTAACAAATGATAAATGAAAGGATGTGTGAAATATATAAACATTTTATATTGTTTTGGAGAATATTTAATATCAATATTTTTTTTTATTTTATAAATTAAAATAATTAATTTATACATTATCATATATACTAGTAGTGTTAAAATCTATTTTTTATTATTATTTAACTATACAAATGAATTATTATGAATTGATATAATTAAATACTATTATTGTTTATAAAAAAAATCTGAAACTGTTTATCAAGTGTTAAAAGGATGTATTAATCATAATTACATTGATTCAAATATTTTTTTTTTGAAAATGTTTAGAGAATGTCTCTTAATTTTAAAAGTATTATAAATATTTTTAAAAAAAACATAAATAAAATTAGTTTAATTAGTTTAAATAAGTTACAATAATTTTATTAGTATACATGTTAGTAGTTTATTTTTTTTAAATATCTATA